GTTGCTGATAAAGTTAGAGAAACCGAGTACCAAGTCTCTGTTAGTAAGCTACCTACTTTACGCTTTATTCTTCTTTTCATTTATATCATTTATATATTAAACCATTTAACTATGGTGCTACAGAAAACTAGGTCGCAAGCCCTAAATCGTATAACGAGCCTGCAGGCGGACAGAATCTAGTCTGTGCAGAAAAGATGGGGGCAGCAATGCCCCCATCATCTAGGATCTCAAACAGCACCGTCACACCAGACACAGCATTTACCAAAACCGGTAAACTCATGCGGTCGGGGTGATAGTGACACCTCCCAAACATAAGGTTGGCAAAAAATAAAGCACGGGGGAAGCGCGCATGTCGACTAACGAATATACCGATACACGCTACGCTTGACCTCACCTCACAGAAGGCAACCATTGAGTCGTCAACAAAGAACAAACCTATAACGACTGTAGTGTTTGCAAAGAATCGGTGTCAGAGGCTCAAAAAGCCTTCGCGTGCAACATCTGTCTAGAATGGGTATACTGTAACTGTGATAATGCTATACCAGGTTAGTACTGCAGCTTTATGAGGAAGCACCCATGTAAGTGGATGTGGTATATATGTCCAGAATGTCGGAAATCGCATGCTATCACCACCGGCAAACTGGAAAACCTGGTACAGCCAAACATGTTACAAAGCTCGAGCTCCCATAATCTGCCCTCAGAAACTGATCAAGCTCCACAAGTCTGCAAAAGTGTCACCCCTAGAGATAGGAAGAAACTAGCTCCCACTCCAAGTGAGGCACCAACAAGTTCCTAACCTGTATCGATGCAATCCAGACGATACAACGGAACTGATTAACTTGAAGAAATAGGTTGTGTTGAGAACGCATGGACGGAAATAAATAGGGTAAAGAGTAGACCGAAAGCACTGACTACCAAGCCCAATACCCCGCATCTAAAGGACAAGAGAATGGATTCCATCATTCTGTTCAACGCCGTTTTATCAAGAGACTCATCCTTAGCAAAAAGAGAACAGTGACAAGGAGAAGTGGGACGACTACTGCAGACAGTTAGAAATAGAAACCATCGCAGCTAACTTATGTCAGCTCTTCTGAGGAAGTAGAGCACCTCAAGACAAGCCGCCACCACTCAGGGTATCAGCAATGACAGTGAAACAGTCAGAGGACATACTGCTGCTGTCGCGCCGGACAGACATTGCAGGGTGAAACCACAAAAGCCATCGGTTACCAGAGAGACGGAGAGAAAGTCCTCACTTAGTGATTTGCACAAAGCTGCAACCATGGTGGTGCATAGAATACCCAAAGTGGCGGGTGGATCCACAAAGTGTGATAATTACCTGCATGATGTCAAGCAGTGGAAGCAGCTACCGGTAAAAATGGGGCTTGGGAAGTTCCCTGCCAGCAGCGTAAGTAGGTTACCAAGACCTACACACTTGCAGAATATTTCCTCACCAAGATTAGTAGCTGTACACTTTGAGTGCAAAGCATCACTAACATAAGCTCTCACGGCATGGTACCGTGTGAAAGATCACACAGGAGGTGCTATACGATGCTGTAAGAGTAAACCACGAGCTGCCAGACTAGAAGAAAGGAGGCAACCTCCGAGAATACTACAAACAGTACTAGTCAGGAAAGAACTAGCCAGTGAACTACCTGTAGATATAATAAGCAATACCACAACACCAACACCAGGATGCCAAGAGGGACCAAACAACGGAGGCCTGCCAGTTCAGTGAAGACTGGCAGTCAGAATCCGACGCAACAGCACACCAGCCTCCAAACAAGTCCCAATATCACACTAAGCTCAGAACGTAGCTCCTTGACATGTTTCTACAGCAATGTAAGAGGTTTTAGGAGCAAACTACTGGAGCTAAGAACAATGTGCGATAATCTGCAAGCAGATATAATTCTCATCACAGAGACATGGCTGTCAGAAGACATCGTGGATGAGGCAATATCTTTGCCTAACATGACTCTGTTCTGAAAGGACAGGCAGTCCAAAGAAAGAGGAGTTTCTATGTATATTAGCACTTATCTAAAAGTCGAGGAAGTGACTGATGGTGTGTTCAGCTTACTGCCAGACTCCTTATGGTGCTATTTCACCATGAACCAAACTAATTACCTATTAGCAGTGGTATATAGGCTTCCACTTTGCAAGACAGAGCATAAGCCACAATTGCTCAACGCCATTTCAACAGTTATCTAGGCAGCCAATGACCATTTAGTTCTCGCTGGAGACTTCAACACACCAGCACTCAACCCAAAATGTGAAGTAAGATGTGGGCATAAGTCTTTCGAACATAAACTTCGAAACACGTTAATGGCAGCAGATTGATAGAAAAGGTTGGGGAAAGCACTAGATGGGGACCAGATGGAAAAGGATCACCACTTGATTACCTCCTAACAGGCGATAACCTTATGGTGGATGATATCTGTGTCCAACCCCACCCCGTAGGTGGTGAGATTGTCTCTGATATCCAAGGAGAAATTACCAATAGTTGAGCCAGGAGTGTCCCGCTGTTACCGAAAAGCAGAATACCGTCTCATGAACAATGAACTCCTGGAGGCTGCATGGCCACAAGAATGGCACTCACTGTCAATAGACGAACAATGAATATATATTAAAGATATTACCTGGAGCGAAAAAGTGTTCCGAAATTAACCAGACGGCTACCTCTCAAACGGTCTTGGGTAACTCGCGCAACCCAAAGGCAAATACAGAGGAAAAAGAAGGCATGGTATCGGTGGCGTACATCACATAAAAAATTAAACTTTCATAGCTACAAGACGTTACGCAACCTATGTAATATAAGAATTCGTAATGACAGGTATACATACCAGAGCAACCTGGCTAAACAGTTAAGTTACAATCCGAAAAGTCTGTATCGGTTTGTGTCACAACGCAAACCGACGAATAAGGGTTTAAACCTGACCACAGAGCCGGCTTGGGAACCCTTGAACAGCAGTGAGATAGTGGAACTAGTGAACAACCGATTTGACGAGCAACTCAACCCGGTAATGCATCTAGTAATGTAACGTAGTTCCAGGCCTGCGATACAAAGCTGATGAACGCAAACATTTCGTCAAACCAAGTATTTGCGAAACTTTCAATACTGAGAATAGGGAAATCTCTGGGCCGTGACGACACAATACCGGTGGTTCTACGCAATTGTGCCAAACTGCTAAGCACACCCATATGTAACCTATTTACGTACTCGTTGGAAGTAAGTCAACTCCCCAAAGAATGCAAACGCGCTATCCTTTCACCAATTTTTGAGAGAGGAGACCGAAAAAACCCGTGCAACTGCAGACCAATAGCATTACTTTCCAAGGTACTGGAAAGCCTGGTTGCAGATGTTATTTGGGACTACCTGGACGGAAACAACATCGGTCGTCCCACCCAACATGGCTTCACAACCGGACGGTTATGTGCCATAAAATTGATGACCGCTTGGGATAACTGGACCACTAGATGTGACAGCAAGCAACCAGTTCATGTTATCTTCCTGAGCCTGGCCAAAGCTTTCGATAGCTTCCCACACTGCACCATGCCCGCTAAACAGAGAATTCCGTCCTAAAGTAAACAGAATTCAATCAACCCGGAGAAGTGCAATAACAGGAGTTTCCAAAGGAGCGATCCTTGGGCCACTCCTACTTACCCCACCGTAGCCCGAAGACGAGAGTAACATCTAACTTCTCCCAAAGAGTATGTGCCTTATGGAACGCTCTGCCGAAGAAAGTAGCCACAGCTACATCAATCGACTCCTTCAAACGACTACTAGATGAGTACGTGAGTTCAAACGGCTTACCACGAGCATTTGTCAGTAGCAACGAATGATACTCTCTTCCATCTCTGTATTCCTCAGTAACAACTATCTTTCCATAAATACTTTTAATTCCTCTTTTTCTCATTCCCCACTCACCCTATTTCTAGCACTTTTTAAGTAACGCTTAATACCTGCTTGCAGGTTCTTACTAAACGGGAATTGCAAACGGCTAATCAATCGTATCATCAGCTCTACTCCTCCCTCTCCCCCCCCCTCCCAAAAAAAAAACAACTAAACTACAGTTCGCAAATAAAATACCTCCAAACAGACAATCATTACCTCCAAAGCTGTAAGTAGGAAAACGCAAAGATTTCTGCGACCATCGAAGGAGTATAACCGAACAAAAAGAACCGAGCCTCAATATCTAGAAGCGAGAGCTCAAAAACTAGAAGTTTCTTCTATTCAGAATACAGAGATGGAAGAGCGTATCATCCGTTGCTACTGACAAATGTTCGTGGAAAGCCGTTTGAGCTCACGTACTCATCCAGTAGTCGTTTGAAGGAGTCGATTGATGTAGCTGTGGCTACTTCCTTCGGCAGAGCGTTCCATAAGGCACATACTCTTTGGGAGAAGTTAGATGTTACTCTCGTCTTTGAGCTACGGTGGGGTATGCGAGTGGGGTTCCCACGAGAATGTCGGTTTTAGGCCGATGACGTTGACCTATTAGGGTGGTCCACCTGGTGAATGATCGTGTAGGCTGTTATCAAGTCAACTCGTTTCCTTTGATAACTGAGTGTGAACAAGTTGAATTGTCTGAGGCGTTGAGCATGTTTTGCCTGTTAGTCCGACAACCGACCTTGTCGCTTTTCGCTGAACCTTGTGCCGTTGTTCATTGTGCACAGCTTTGGGCTAGGAATCTGATTTGGCGCCAGATATGGTGCACATGGGGCCACTGTTTTAGCAAGGTCAAACGTAGGGTCGATGGTGTTGGTTTTAGGGACAACAATCAGTACATGAGATCAGAAACGTCGGGTCATTTGTAAAAGCCTAGGGCCAGAGGTACAGCCAAATGTGCTCAATATCGGTCCAGAAGTAGGAAACAGATGAAAAACCCCGTGCCTGGCCATATATTTGGCCCAACGAAAATGTTGACTGGGACAGTTCTTTTCAGTTCTGTATCATTAAGTAAGTGTATGTTTAGTCTAAACAGATTCTCCAACTGAGTGCAACACACCAACTTGTTATTCAACCAGGGAGCTGATCAAAATAGTGTCTCACGAATCACAACAATTCACATACCAAATATAAACTTGCATTAAACGACCTTCAATTTTAAATTCTTATAGCTTAATTTCAGTGCTCAATGAGCTTCAACGCTTTGTTCTAGTTAAAAAGTTACGAATTTGACTAGGTTTTGAGTGTTCTTAAATGATTTTTGGGTGTTTGTTGGTGAAACAGAGTAAACAAAAGCTTCCAGTATCCAATATCCAATATTGATAGTGCGAGCGTAGAAAACTGGTAGTTTTTGATCTCTCGCGTCTAGTTCTTAGGGCTTGGTTCCAGTTGTTCGGTTTACTCCTGCAGTGGACGAGGAAATCCCCTCTGCTTTCTTGCTTTTAGCTTCGGTGAGGTGGATGTTTTGTGGGTTAGTAGGTTGTAATTTGTAGAGTGATTAGGGAGCTACGGGTTGCTGGGAAGTTTAGAGAACTGCCATGACTCCTGTCTGTGTAGGTACCTGAAAGAGAATAGTAAGGTAGTGGTAAAGGAATGAAGAGAGAATAAAGAAGAGAGTGAAGTAGCACCATAGAGACTCTGGGAGCTGGGTTAAGGCCGTATCGCTAACCATCCTTGCCTTTAAACAGGAGTTTACGTAGATAGCCACTCCCCCTCCTGCTCTATGTTCCCTGTCCCTGCGGAAGAGTTCCATGCCAGCAACACGCATCTCTTCGTCGGAGATGTCCGATGAGAGCCAGGATTCGGTGATGAATATGATGTCGTAGTGCTGATGTTCACGCAGCGTCCTCATTTTGCTACCTTCCCTCTTAGCCCCCTAACGTTGCTGTACATACATATTAGAGTGTACCTGATGAGAGGGGAGGTCTGGATGTGTATTTTCGCGGGATGAGCGCTTACGTGGTTGAATTTAGCCTCGCCAGTCCTCATAGGACTGGCATTGTTCCGTTTTTTTGTGTTTTGTTCTTAACTTGGGTGGGGGCTGTAGCAGTGGTGGCTTCTTTACTTGATGTATCTAACTCACTGGTCAGCGCCTGTGTGACGACCACTGACTCCAGAGGTCTTGGTGGTTGCCGTCTCTCCTCTTGCCTTGTGGGTCTAGGCTTACTTTCACATATACGTATTGAGCCACCCATGCGATCTTTCGCATTATACCATGCGTGCAGAACGTCTGTGAGGGAGGCATATGAGTCGAACTGGACGGCAAGTAGTCTGGGATTGGGTATGGTCTTCAGGTGCGCTGGCCTTGGCAGTCTACTGACGCTGTTGGCCGGTATACTGTTGAGACCAACTTTGGTTGAGAGCCATTGCCATTGTTGGACGTCGTGAAAGTACCGATCTTTGACCGAGCTGTCACTTGGCAATTCTGGAATCCCATGTACAACTATAGTGTTGTTTCTGTTGGGATTTCCAACCGCTGACTTTCTCTCCTCCTCTCTTACTGACCATGGCTTGTCAGGCCTGGCCCGAATTTTACAGGCATTAACAACGTCCGGTTGTCGCGAGAGGAGGAGTGTGTCTTCAGCCTCTTTGGCGGTATTTAGGGACACACGTAAAGGGGGTGGCTTATCTCGGGGTGCATGGCTTCCTCGAGAAAGGCGACACAAAGTTGCAGGGAGGGGAGGGAGTCCCAGCATCTGACAGTAGTCGGTCCACATTCGGCTGTCAAATTGTTCCCTCTCGACCAACAATGAGTCTGTCGATACATCGACGTTGAACAAAATGATCGAGTTGGTCCTCCTGTGACCTGGGTTCGTTGTGGGTGGCACGCCCGACTTCCCAATGGGTTTGAGTAATTCCACTGGTTGTTTCTCAGTCACGGTGTGTGGGGTGTTCGGAATGGGTTTCGTAGAGGCTTCGGCGGTCGATGTCTTTGGCCATGCGCTTGACGTCCCCTGGGGCCGGGTAGGGGTATGGAGACTTGACCTAATATGGTCCCCACGCGAGGTGGCGTGCCCACAGCTGGAGCTCTAGGTCTGTTTCCAGGTCTCTCTGTGTTATCCTTTGGTGTTAACCCTACTTTATTCGAGGATGCTGGTAGCTTTTGCGTGGCGGAGAGCATCTCCTTCAGGCTTTCTGTGCGGAGTGCGGGCATTTTCCTGCACTCTGGACAGATGTACCAGAACCACTTGCATGGTTGTCTCTTCATCAGCTTATAGTATTGTCGGGGGACTTTGGTATCGCAGTGGCAATGCGCCCATCGTTGACACAGGTTGCATGCAAATGCCTCATCGACTACCGAAACAACTTTGGTGCAAACACTGCAGCCATCGGGTGTCGTAATACAGCCTTCCTTCCATGAATAAGGTGCTACGGATTGTGGCGAACTGCTTGTGGCTGCCTTGTTCTGAAGCCTTTTACGTCGTCTTCTATTTCAGGCATGGTATGATCCTTGCTCAAGATAGGACTAGTTTGTGACGGGCTAGTGCTACTCTGTGTCACCTGTCTGATGGCTACTGGAATTCTAGAAACATGGGTTGGCCACTTCTTCAGAAGTTCGGTGTTCTGCCCTACCTCTGTTTGTCTTCTAGTACAGACTAGTGTGTTGTTTAGGGTGTTACTGGCCGTTTTTGTGCACGACCGCGTTATCCGTGTCAAAGCTTCAGACCTAGCGTTTTGGGCAGACATGTCGCTATGATATAAACTTCTTGGGAAAACAAGTAGTTAACAACAATAAGAGGGTTGAAGACTGAATGCAGCAAAAGGACAGAATAGAAAAGGGAAGATAATTTATGTTGGCTCACCTTCAGACACTTGTCACTTGATCCTCTGCTCTTGACCAACGAGTTTAACCGTAAGCTCCAGATGCGTATGTATAACCAGGAAAGATATTTCCTGGGGAATGACCTCCGAGGAGAACCGAGAGCTAAGGCAGTTTGGCAGCTGAAACGCCCAAGAACCACTGACAGGAGGTAGACCGGTTGGTTCAAAGGAATAATAATGCCAATTTTCAACTGTTGAGGAGTGAGCTGACGAATGCGCAGGGGTGAGGTGCGTGGACGGACAGAAGTGCTGCAAACGTTCGATGTTTTTAGATTGAGTATTGCAAGTGGGAGTTTTTCATTGTGGAAAAATCCAAAAGCTGAGAGACGAGCGAAACACGTCACTACTCAAGGAGCGGGCCAACGATGAATGGCTCCCGCGTCTAGAATCAGTGCACCACTTTTCCTTGTGCTTGAAAACCTAGGTATAAAAACAAAGAATAAAAACCACCATGTCACTGGAAACGTAGACTTTGATCTCACTCCCTGATTTTCAGCTGATATAACGTTTGTGTCTGGAAGACTCCGATGATGCAGCCTGAACAGCATCTTGGGAGAAAGCATCCAAGCCTTAACAACTTGGGAAGTAAACGTTATGCCCGATGTTAGTTCGGCTGTAGTAAAAATCTGGCTCTGTCCGTAGCACTTGTCCTCAGGCTTTAGCCAAGCAAAATTGTGAAACGAGTGGCCTGAAGTATTTAAAATTGCATCACCTATTGTTAGGTCGCCTACCAATTGTCTGTATTTCAGGGGGTGTAGACCCAATGTTAGTACACGTTTCTCGCATGGCTTCCAGAATCCACTATCTTTTCCTTGAGCTTGGTAAGGGTGAGTGGCTTCTTCACTCTTGCTTCTGTTCTTGCAGGGCGGTTCCAGGTCCTCACTGTAGGTCTATCCACTCGTCTGATGTGGTTCGGTAAACGCTACTGGTGGCTGTCGGTTGAATCTGTAAAAGGTGTACGATTTGTTCTAGGACCGTGGTGCAGGTGTTCATCAAAAATCATGTTGCCAGACAGTCGTTCACCCTAGTGACAAAAGGAACATCGGGATAGTAAACAGATAACCATGGAAGACTAAGGAGGGAAAATGAAAAGATGGAAGGGGAAGAAATGAGACGCAAATGTAAAAACCTAGGTAAATGCAGAAATGATGAAAGAGCAAACGGTAATGAAAAACCCAATGAATAGAGTGATAATAGGTTGTGATACTGTCGATGACGTCTAGCACTGAAGTATCAGGCTGAGTCAAGTTAGTGAAAATGGCGGCACTACAAGAGAGCCGGTATGAAGGTAACTGTATCTTTCTGATGTGGAACCTGTTGGCTGTTTGGGCCTGGTCCTCATGCCCCATGGATAAGTACAAGCAACGTGTCACTGTGCAGCTATCCAAGCGTTTCTTAAGGCTGTCTACATGTGGAGTGGTGATTACGTCTACAGATGTGGCATTCTAGTGGCTACAAGCTTATAAAACGGTTGCGTGAAAGCATGCGAGTGTTCCTCTTTTTTAGGACATTCTTTTGTGGCTTCCATGAGGACTACCTTTGTGACGTTAGGGCCATGTTCTTCCCTTTGGGTTACTTGGATTACCTGACACCGTGTAAGCAGTTAATAGGTCACCACACAACTTCCGGTGACTAAGATCAGAAGACGCAGGTCCTTCAATCAGTGCAATTATGATTTTTGCTAAATCCCTGCAACAACCTTACTGGTCCGCCTCTGGACTTTTTCAAGGTGGCTCATATCTTTTTTCAAGTATAGTGCTGCAAAGATGTGGTGGACCCCAGAGCTTAGTGGTAGCTTGATCTTGTAAAACTTCCGAAAGAGCTCCGGAGTGAGGGGTCCAGTTGTCTGTGAACCAAGTTTAGTACTATGTAGGCTCTGGAGGCTTTCGTTACCTCTAAGAACGCTGGTAGAAGTGCTGTGGATAGGTAGCACTTTGAGTTCTGCCTGTTCCTTCCACTGAAGACTGGAGTGAGGACGACACGCTTTCACTCCTGTAGGAGCTTGTGTTCTCATTCGAGAAGTGTTTCAGTTGGCTGGGGAGCAGACCACATAGAGTACCTGCAGAGCATTTCAACATACATGGGTGAATGTAATCGCATCCTGGAGGTTTTCCTGTACGCAGCTCTAAGAGTTTTCCAGGCCGATAACAAGTGCTGCCTGTACTCTGTACGACTCCTCCATGCGGGGTGGTGCTGAAGGTTGTTCGTGTAGTTAGTAAGTTTAGTTGGCTGACGAAATGTTTGGTTGCTTGTCAGTGGTGCTAAAAGTTTTGATTATCTCTAACCCGGAGAGGACCTCTTCAGTCAAAC